ATCAGGAGGGATTCTGAGGTGATGAGGTCTAGGCGGGGTGAGTGAGATGACAAAATACTGAAATCTGTGGTAGAAAAAGGGTGTGAGTGTTGTTTTGAATGTTCTCTTATTGCCGAGAAGTTAGGTTTGCTCAGCGGGAGGCCTGTTCTGAAGGATTTACCCTTATGCTCGGAGATGCGGTGACAGCCAACATGAGGTTGATCCCACGTACCTAGCTTGACAGCTAGGACAGGTAAATAAGTATACCACATTCGAACATAATCAAGCTGTGTTTTAAAGGGTATTTCAAGAGCTTAGCTATTGTGTTGGTGTTACTGAAAACAAAAGTAAACTTAATCTGTGGGTAGTTAATTTGCGAGAGCGTTTTTAAGTTTCCTGATTTCATAACTTAAATCACCCGTGTAGGGTAGTTTAACATATTTATGGTGTCTTTTAACTGTAGGGATAATCTGTTCATTAGTGAATTTCTTATACAGAAAAGTGTTGGTAATTTTATCGAACAAATGTAATGGGTACCTATTTGTTGCGAAGAAGTTTTTTTCAGAAAAGACATTTCATCATGAAAGGCTGTCCAGGTGCTACATAAACTATAAGCTCTAGTGATAAGAGTTTTAACACTTGATTTTGTAAATATGTGGGATAAAACTGAGAAAGTGTAGGCCGAGGCCAGTGAAAGTAGGTTTGCGGTAAATGCTAGTATGGGAGATACCATTGTTGTTAGTGACCATAGTATCTAAAAATGGCAATTGGTTGTCCATTTGCAAGTCACAGGTGAATTTGATGCTGGGGTGTTTGGGATTTAGGTAGTAGAAAAAGCTTTACGTGCGAAGGGTGTTTAAAGAGTAAAAAAAAAAAAAAAGTGTCGATGTATCGACGATAATGTAGAGGTTTGAAATCAGGCGGGCAATGTTCTAGCCAGTTTTTTTTCATGATGACTTTCAGAAATGTACTAGCAAATGAGGGACCAAGTCGAGAGCCCATGGCTACACCATCTGTTTGTTTATACAGGCGTAAAAACTGAATGATAGGCTATGATTTCCAATAATTTTTGAAGGTAATTGTATCCAAACCAAATTTGCCATGATAAGTATTGTTCAGGCTGTTAGCTATTAACTCCGTGGTCTCTTGTAAAGGCACGTTTGTGAATAGTGATTCGACATCAAAACTCGCCATTGTGACAGTATATATATATATATATATATATATATATATATATATATATATATATATAGTTACATATATATATACATCTTTACCATTTGCATAAATAGCATATTGCCCGTTGAAACATGATCCTCGTAAATAAACTCCAGAGACAATTAGGGCGATTTTTTCCTTGTGAACAGAAAGCCATCTTGGCAGACCAAAAAATGACAGTCGGATAAAACTGAAAATAACTTTGTTGGATTACACTTCTACTTGAAACTTCTCAAGAAGGTAAATGTTATGGCTATATTTTTGTAAATAGGTGAAAGAATTAAAGATGCCTTATGTTCTTGATAAAGGAAATATCCTTCTAGAAATTAGATATTGACTTAATACTGTATTTGATTTCAACAAATACAGATTGTTTGCATTTTCATTAAGTGCACGTTGTTGAGTTTTTATTATGGGACTTATAAACTCATGGAATAGTAAACAAGGCATGATAATTTACATGTACATATATTGAAATTCAAATATTTTATTTCATTAATTACAACGGGTATTCCGTTTACACATATGGTGTTTACATTATGTAATAAGATGCTATGAACATAGATATTATACAATGCTTGTGAAACAAAATTACACAGAACAATAATATCATAAGTGATTGTAATATTGTGCTCGGCTTTATGTTTAAGCATCTGATATCATAGATATTTCAGTAGATGTTCGTTCACATTTGGTAGGAAATATTTATAATATTTTCTGGTAATTGGTTCCGAATAGCCAGTCCTCGGATTTGCATATTTCTTGCCCCGGTTTCTGTATTCGATATTTAAAAATATAAGCAGTTATTTTGCCTTGTAACCTGTTGTCTGTATAGGTGATAAATTCCTTGTGATATTTTATGGATTAGAATACATGCGGCATAGTTGTATTTCTGTTGTACTTTTAGCCATTTTAGTTTTTTGATATGGGGTGTAGTCATATTTATTTATATTTCCTAGTGATACTCTTGCTGCAAAGTTATGTAGCTTCTGTATCCTTTGTATTTGTGTTTTAATTGTGGAGTCCCAGATGTTTAGGCAATAATTAATACTTTTACTATAAGCACTTATACTAAGTGCTAGTGTTTGTATAATAGCAATTCTTGTTTCTGCAGTTATTTTATTTTGATGTGATTTATTATTTTTTTTCAGAATGCCTATTACTTTTCTGTAGATGTAGCCAGTGTGAGTCTCAAATGTCATATTTTTGTCTATGCATACACAGATTATTAACTGTTGTGTTGGGATTGATGTAGCAACCTTGGAATTCTGTCACTGTATCTGTGGGTATTTTTGCAATGTTCTGACGGTTACCTATGGAAATACACTGTTTACTGTGGATTTACCTTCAGGTCATTCATTTCGAAGTATTCTTTTGCTTCTGTTAGGGATTGTTTAGCATTTCCTATGAACTCATTTAAAATTGTTAACAGAGGCAGCGTGAAGAAATTTAAAGTCATCAGCGTACTGAATATAAATTGCTATTGATGACAGATTAATGAATATAATTAATAGGATTGGGCCTTGGAAGAAACCTTGTTGAACACCGAACGAAACTTGTTTCTTTGATGATACTTTTTCATTGATTTTGACTGCGGACAAGTATTTTTTGAAGCAAAAGTTATCGATTCCGTGATTTGTTAGTTTGTTAAGAAGTATTTCATGGCTGACTCTATCAAAGGCCTCCGATAAGTCACGTAAAGAGCAAATTCATCTGGTTGCGTATGTTGTTATAAATTTCATTTGTGACTTTTAGTAACGCTGTTTCGGTTGATATCTTATTCCTAAAGCCGTGTTGCGTCACACACACACACACACACACACACACACACACACACACACACACACACACACACACACACACACACACACACACACACATATATATAATTGTATGTATGTATGTATTTGTATATATATTTATATATGTACAATAAATGTGTATATATATGTATATATATCATTATATATGTATGTATATATTTATGTTATATATATATATATATATATATATTATATATATATATATTATATATATATGTATATATGTAATATACAATATATATGTATGCATATTTTTTATATGTATATATATGTATATATGTGTGTATACATATATATATATATATATATATATATATATATATATATATATATATATATATATATATATGTATATATATATATATATACTATATACATATATATATATATATATATATATATATATATATATATATATATATATATGTATATATATACATATATATATATATATATATATATATATATATATATATGTGTGTGTGTGTGTGTGTGTGTGTGTGTGTGTGTGTGTGTGTGTGTGTGTGTGTGTATGTCTGGATATATACGTATATGTATATGTGTGTGTTGTGTGTGTGTGTGTGTGTGTGTGTGTGTGTGTGTGTGTGTGTGTGTGTGTGTATGTATATATATATATATATATATATATATATATATATATATTATATATATATATATATTATGTATATGTATATTAACATTAACAAATTTAGACAAGTTATTTTCATACCCTAATGTTTTTTTTCTGTTAGACACTGGTCCAACTAAGGCAAGAGAGATATCTCCGGTGCCTCTGTTAGTCAATGAAATACTCTGACCTCATCTTTTATTAATGTGGAAGGTGGTAGGAAATGTAGAGTGAAACACATCAAATTGTGTGAAGCCTTTATAATTACGAATGTACGTGATAATTATAATAAAAAAAAAATACTTGACTACATATTTTGCAAATGGAGAAACAATTGGGTCATAGATTTCTGGACACTTTATAATCATAGTATATTGCATTCACGTAAACTCAAGTACTCCAGGAACAAGCGTAAAGATCAACATTTTCTACATGCAAACTGGTGAGGTGCAGGAGAAAAAACATCCAAGAAACAACGAAATAGCTAGTATGAAGAGCTGCACGCCTATCTCATTTCTTCAGCCTGTTCTGCGCCGTTCATCTCGCTCATCCAGCTCTGGGAAACATCTCATGTCAAATGAATTACACTTACGTGAACGAAGGCGGGGCCTAGGGAGTAAATGTAATGGGAAAATGTGTACTAGGCCTAGTCTTGATTACGAAATGCAGAGTGGGTCTTTAGCAGTGGTTCTTGACCTGGAGGGCGTCACTAATTTCCGAAGGGGGCGCGAGTCCTTAGGGAAGAGCAGGAATTTCTCTAATTTCTTTCGGTCATCTCTTAATGACATGGCCAAATAATGAAAATGTGACATTTATGCTCAATAAAAAGACTAAGAACATTTTTCATTTTCTTTAAAATCTAGGAGGGAATCTTATTCACAGATTCAAGGGGAGCGTGAAGGAAAGTTTCCTGGAGGGGGCGTGGTAGCTAAAAAAAATAATAATAATAATAATAATAATAAAATAAAAGTTAAGAAGCACTGGCCTATACGGAAAGGGGGATCTAATTTAAATTCCCTAATAGCCAATTTTCATTTCGCTTCTATATTGAAGACCAGGATAGGTATATACTAATGGCTTCCCAGGACTGCGTTACTGAAAACTGTCAGATACTGTATAACTGTACATAAAGTTTGATTTAATATCTCATAATGAAAAAAGTTATCTTTAAATTTTCAGAATTAACATGCTATTCATTCTTAATTTCCCCTTCGTCTAACTAGTTTGACACCTCTGCTATAGAGAAAAGGTTAGAAGCAAAGTATTCGTAGTAGTATTAACAGTAGCAATAAGCACAGCGGTATTCTCAGCCCTTATAATGGTAATTTTTATGGCAACAGGGAATAAATAACTTAGGGTCTATGACAGCGACTAAATGCCGTCTCAGCAAAGAAGGTGAGGACGGCCACAGTATGACCCAAAAAGAGCAGGATGAAGGCGCTCAAGAGGTGCTCCGTTCGGAGAACCTCACGGTTCTGTTCCGGCTGATGAGCAAAAGAAGGATAGTTCGGTAATGTTGATTATGGCACTTTTAAGTAACGACACTAGATCATGGTATATGAAGTTTTATTTCACTTTACAAAATTTGATTGAAATTACTTTATCATGATTTTTAGTGATTATTTGGTTATTGTTTTTTTTTTTTTTTTCTTTCTTCCTTGTTTTAATGTGATGTAATTTTGCAAAGCCTATAGGACAGAAGGGTTTGTGATGCCAAGCACTGTGTGCAACCAGATGACTCACCTTTCCCTGTGCGACTTTTCCAGACCCCGATGACTTGAGCACCTCCTCCATCCAGCGGTCAGCCAAACCGGCTTCCATCAGTCTTTGTGTCAGACTTATCACGTCCTTCCTTAGGGGAATGCCTTTTCTGTGCAATGACAGTTTATACTTAGTTTGTACCTGAAAGTTTATTTTTCATACAGAATCCACATAGTAATGAACGAAGCTTATAGAACTAACCTGAATGCCCAAGCCACTCCAGGAAAAGGATTGTACTCAGTTTTGCTGATACGGAGGTTGGTATGACCGAATTCATCTGTGTATGTTCTAGCAATATCGGCCAAAAGGCTGTACTTGGAGGATATGTATCCATGCCTTCCTTTTAATGCAAGTGCAACATTCTCGTCTCCTGTAAGAAACTAAAGACAAGAACAGGTTACTCTCTAGCATACCATTTTAACTGGTTTGCACAAAGTAACATTCGAACTGGTATTTCTAGTTTTTATGTCAGTATTCTTTGTATTACGGAGTACGAAACCAGGCTTACCTGCATTTTCTTTCCCAGCTGTTCGATCACAGGATTTGGCTTGGATTTCATGTAAGTTCCCATCGACCCTGTGTTAGAGTGCATGCCCCAGGACCACCCGCTATGTGACAAGAGATCTTCGAAGGAATTTATCTCTGCCGTCTTCCCCTGGACGGTGAGGTGGGCCACGAGGGAGGAGCGGTAGGCCGTCGTCATGACCAGGCAGTAGGTGAGCCACGTCACTACCAAGATCTGTTCCGGGCAAGGAGTACATTTAGCATTTACATTTTTTCATTTATTGTTTCAATTAGGATCCAAAACACATAAAGCGACAAAAACCATAAACCATAAACCATTTGGCTCACACGACACAAAACAAAAGTACTGTTGTACGTTTCTAACCACCTAGTGCTTTGTTCGTTTCGTTTTTATTTTTAAAAAGTGCTCTCATAAACTACAGCAGCTTTCTTAAAAAAGAAAAAAAAAACTAATACCATTGATACTTTCAGGCACATCTTTCTTTCTATTAAATATTTATAAATTATACTTTGGTTTGAGAGAAATATGATGAAACTGGAAACACAGAGGGTATACCTCCGTTATTAAGGGAATAAGGGTAACTGAGGCAATCATTTAAACAAATCGTGGTTCAGGATCATTTAATGGGATTCAAATTGGACTAATAGACATCTGATAATAAATAAATAAATAAATAAATAATATAAAATCTAACCAACGCACAAACTAACTAACCAACGCTCCCAAAACATCTATTTCATGAGCTTTCTTACGCGGCCGGAGGAGTTGGTCGGCGCGGCGGCGGGTGAGTCCTCCATCATGGTGCCCCAACTGTACAGGAGGGCGGAGCTCAGGCGAAGGCCAGGGCCGCCCGAGCCACAGGCCCACGCCTTCTGGAGTAGCCACAGAGTCATGCTAGCAGCAACGATGCTGGCGGAGAGCGTCGCCCAGAGCGTCTCTGGGAAGGAAAGTGTGTATAGACGGTTTTTCCTTTTGATGTTGAGTAACTTTATGAATAGATTATTATACATCTACATACATGCGCGCGTGCTCACACATGCACACACACACACATACACATACACACACACATGTAAATGAAAGATTATATGAATATAAAGTGAATAAAAGAGAGAGAGAATTAAAAGGAAAATTGTTTCGATGTAAATCACACTCTCTCTCTCTCTCTCTCTCTCTCTCTCTCTCTCTCTCTCTCTCTCTCTCTCTCTCTCTCTCTCTATATATATTATATATATATATATATACATATATATATACATACATATATATGTGTGTGTGTGTGTGTGTGTGTGTGTGTGTGTGTGTGTGTGTGTGTGTGTGTGTGTGTGTGTGTGTGTGTGTGTGTGTGTTTTTCATTTACATACTGCAGGGAACAGCCTTACCAGAGAAAGGACTAATGAGTGATAGGTAGTTGGGAAGAGGACGTGCCTTAGCCGAGGCAATGATCAGTGGTTCACTCATGTAAACCCTCGCGAACTCGACCACGCGAGACCTGGCAAAGGTGGGCGTGAGGCCGAGGGAGAAGTCGGCCTCTTGTCGCTGGAGAGTCCGCACAATGCCCGTCC